CCAGCAACGAATCGGTGAAAGCTCGGCTGCTCCGCGGCCACGTTGAAGTCGCCCAGGGTGAGCCACCGCAGCTGAAGCGCCGCAACTAGCGCACTGAGGTGCGCAAGTCTGCGAAGGTTGCCGCCAGACCAACCGACGGCGCTGAAGGTGTAGAAGACGGCGGCAACCAGGCCGTAGCCGCGCGCGCGCTGCACGCCGGCCAGGAAGCCGTCCAACGCCGACCCTTGCGCCGAGCGAAGGGCTCGAGCCGCCTGGGCTGCTGCGTCCAGAGCGCGCGCATGAAGGCGCCGCCGCGCGAGCAACCACTCGCCGCCCTCGGGTCGGCGCGAGCGGCGCTGCTCACAAGCTTCCACCCTTCCCGTCTGCAGTCGCGCCCACATTTCGTGAAGTCTGCGTTAGCTCGGACGCGGGCCTCAGCAAACCTGGCGAAGTCGCACCGCTGGGCGTCGCGCTTCAAGAACTCCCACGCCTGGGGCCCCATCGCGGAGATGTCGCCGAAAAGATAGAATGACAGTCACGAGCGCCTGGCTGATCAGGAACAGGGACTGGATCAGCAGCGCCATCGCCCACCAGCGCACAGGCGGAGCGCCCCCCGCTCCGAGCGTCGTGATCTGCAGAGAACACGAAACCAAACAAGCGATCACCCAGAAGTTGCACCCGAAATCTCCCGTCTTCTCAAACGAGTCACCCCCTCTAGCAGGGGCAGCGGCCGCCGACTCGTCCCAAACTTCCCCTGAAGCAGATAGTCAAGGAGCGGTCGCAGGAGCTGCCGGAGCCGCGCCTGCCTCCGCCACCTCCGCTCGGCCGGCCCCTGCGCCCGGGGCTCGCCCTTCTGAAGCGAGGGGGGCCCGCCGCTGCCAGCGCCGTTCGCCGTCGCCGCGGAGGCGCCCTTTCGTCGCCCTCGGCGCGGCGCTTCTCGGCGGCGCGGGCCGACTGCTCGGCGGCCACCTTCTTCGCCGGCTCCAGCTCGGCCTTCGCCCCGTCGGGATGGGAGGTGGGCTTGGCCCGCGCGTCGAGGAGGGCCGCCTCCAGCGCCGCCATCTGCTCGCGCTCTTCGGAGCCGAGCTGGCCCGCGCCGTCGAAGATGGCGCCGCCCCGCGTCGCCGCGAAGGGCGGCGCGTCCTCGCTGGCCCCGCGCTCCGCAGGCGGAGCGGTCTCGCCTGGCTCGGGCGCGCGCGCTACAGCTGCCCGGGCAGCGCGCCTGCGAGCCTCGGCCTCGGCCAGCTGGAGCGCCGAGTCCTGCCCCCATAGCCCGGGCCGCCCAGCAGCTCGCGCGCAGGCGCAGCTCGCGCGCAGGCGCAGCACCGAGCTGACGGCGGCGCCGCGGCGGCGCTGCAGCTCTCTGCATGATCCTGCCGCCATCCTGAAGGCGTCGCCCCCGGTTACTGAGTCGTTGCTGGCGGGGCCCTTGTCGACCCACTTTTGGACCAGCTCGAGAGCCGTCTGAATCTCGGGCGGCAGCGAGCCACCGCAACCTCCTTGGCCAGCGCCTGGGCGGCGCTGGCGGGCGAATCTCCAGGCTGCTGGAGATCGTTGCCCTTCCCGCCACGGCCATCCGGTGTTAACGAACCCAACGGGCTTCTTGCCACCCGCACCGCACCCTCGAGAACTGCCACGGTCCCAAGAACCCATCTCGCTGAACTTCGTTCCGATTGCGCTGGCGCCGCTGTCGAGGAGAGCTGCCTCTTCGCTGCAATTGCTGGCGCGGCCACGAGACCGCTTCGCTGAGGTACACAATGCGCGTTCGAGCCAAAACGGTTCTTGGAGTGACGGAGGAGGGAAGGGGGAGGGGGAGGAGAACGGGGAGGAAGGAGGGGGGAGGATAGCGGGAGAGATTGAGGCAGCAAGACGGGTCAATTGACAATGAGGCAGTCCGCGGCGTTCCTGTTGTAGTCCCCACCTGCTTCCCACTCCGGAGGAGGGGTGCGAGGGCGTTCCATTGTCCAGCCGCTGAGCCCCTGCTTCGACTTGCTGCAGACCCGTGCCCATCGGCAATGGATTCCCATGCGCTCGGCAATGTTCGACATTAGTTCTCGTCGGCAACACCGCGATGCATAAAACTTGCTTGCCGTATCCACACATATATATATATATAGTATGCCCGGGCCACGGGCCACGGGGCCACGGGGCCAGGGGTGGCACACCCTGCCGGATTTCCCCCCCCCCCCCTGCCCTTTTGAGCACCCCCCCCCTCGTGGCCTTTCCAAGCCTCCCAGCCGCCCAAAACATTTCCTGGGGATCACGGACGAGAGCGGCGCAACACGGCCCAAGACGCCCCGACATGGCCTCCAGGCGGCCTCAGAGGCCCCCAAGACGCCGCAAGAAGGCTCCGAGGTGCTGCCCGAGAGCGCCCCCTGATGGACAAAGCTGCAGCGCTCCCTTACGAAAACGTGGATATTAGCAGATTCGTTGCTTGAACCTTCACGGCGCCCACGACGGCCCCAGATGCCCTCAAGATCGACCCAAGACGGCCCAAGAAGCCCCCAAGAGAGCCCCAAGACGGCCCCAGAGAGCCACAATACGGCCCAACAGGTCCTCAAAACGGCCCAAGAGGGCCCCAAGAGAGACCCAAGAGGGGGAAACCGAACTCACAATTCGAGCCTTCCGCCCCAAGTGAACCCCGAGGCCGCCAGCAGGCCCCCAAGAGGGCCCCGAAAGAGGCACCCAAGAGGTCCCCAGGAGACCCCGAGAAGCTCCAAACATCGCTCCACGGGGCGCCCGAGAAGTACGCCGAGAGACCCCCACTACAGGTCTCCAAGAAGCCCCTGGCCCTGAGCTCGGGCACGGTGGCGGTATGGGCCAAAGGCCATGCACAAGCAAACAAGTGGCTTGGCGACGGACCCATCCTTTTGCAGTCACGCCCCCTCTTCATACAGCATACTGCGTGCCGCGAAACCGAGCTGACAGCGGGCTGCTGGGGAGCAAGCGTGCACCGGCGCGCGGAGCTGCTTGTGGGGCACGATCCGCGTGGAGGGGGGGCCGACGAAGCCAGGTGCCCTGGCGGAAGCCCGCCCGCCAAGGCCGCAGGCGAAGCTTTTCGTGGGGCACGACCCGCGTGAGGCACGTGCCAAAAGGGGCGGGGGGGCGCCATGCGAAGTTGCCCAGTACAGTCGGGGCCCTGAAGAAGGAACCCTTTTCGTTGGAGAGGGGCTCGGCGTTCCTGGATTGTTCTGCAGTTTGCCTTCAGTTTTCCTGAGGTTTCCCATGGGAAATCGAAGTTCAACGTATGGGAGAAAGGGGCCTCGTTCCTTATTTGGGATTCCTTAGGTCAACGCCCCGACTATAGTGCCATAGGTGGAGCTCGTTCCAGGGCACGACTCGCGTGAGCAGTGTGCCAACGTGGGCGAGAGGACGAGTTGCAAACCTCGTCTCCGGGGCTGTGGGTGACCTTCCCGCGGAGCACGTTCTGCGTGAGGGGTGTGCCGCAATGGGCGGGTGGGGCGCCATGCAAACCTTGTCTCTGGGGCCGTCGGTGGGGCTCCCTGTGGGGCACGATCGATTCGAGAGGTGAGCCGAAGTAGGCGGGGGCGGGATGCGAACCTTGTCTCTGGGGCCGCAGATGGAATTCCCTTCAGGGCACGATCCGTGTGAGAGGTGTGACGACGTGAGCGGGGCGACGCTACGCGAAGCTTCCTTGTAAGTGCCGCTACCTGTGGGGTAGCACTATCCGCGTTAGGGATGTGCCGCTACCCAATGGTGCCATAGGTGGAGCTCCCTGTGGGGCACGATCCCTGTCAGGGGTGTGCCAAGATGGGTCGGGGGCCGTAGGTGGAGCTCCTTGAGGGCATGATCCGTCTGAAGGATGTGCCGAAGTAGGCGGGGAGACGCGATTCAAATATGTATGCCCGCGACAGCGAAGGTGTTCCCACGTGGTGATCTTGGTGCGATGGCGTGCGTACTCATCCGCTGATTGATGTGACGCTGGTTTTGCCTTGGCTAGAACACAAGCGCGCGAGCTGTTCTGGTTCGTGTGTATATATATGTATATGTACATGTATATTACACACTGGGGACATCCTTCATTCGTGTGCGCATGACTGGTACGTTCCCAAATCATTGTGATGATTCAAATGGTGGAATGAGCATGTGGACTGCGATGTTACAAACACCAAGTCTCAGGCCCCTGTCTGTGAACAGCTTGGCCTGAGTGCACGGCAGTCCATGTTCCACGGCGATCGTGTTGTACCCCGTTTGGTGTATTATACCAGGTATTTACGTTTGTTGTGCACATGCACATCGCAGTCATTATCGAAGACGCCTCTGGCGAGTCACCGCCGCCCATTTCCACCGAAACGCGGGCTTCCTAGGGTCATATGAAAAGGCACGTTGGCGGCTTTGGGGGCCTCATGGATTGGCACTGGGGCATATTGGACATTAGCTGGCCTTCTCGCTTTCTCTGGCATTGGCATCGGCTCTCGTCCATAGGGTGGCTCGGCTGTCGCCCCGCCCACTCCATTCCGTCCTCCACCCACCCCCTTCACCTCCCCCCCTTGGTATAGCACGGCCGTGTGCTTTCTTTCCAGCGAGGGAGCATCCTGGATCTTCTGGCAATAAAAAGGACACACAGAATCGACACAAAAATGCACGAGGGATGGACGTCCGAGCGATGGCGAGTCCCCTCTGGCGAGCGTGCCCCCCCATGGCCCAGGCCCCCCGCGCGGCTCCACTGCGTTTTCCCGAGCCCTCCTCTGGCTCCTTCGCCTCGAGTAGTCAGAGCAGCAGTGGCCCACCCTCTCCCTCCTCCTCCTTCTCCTCCTCCTCCTCCTCCTCCACCTCCTCCTCTTCCTCCTCCTCCTCCTCCGTCCTCCTCCTCCTCCTCCTCCTCCTCCTCCTCCTCCTCCTCCTCCTCCTCCTACTCCTACTCCTCCTCCTCCTCCTCCTCTCTCCTCCTCCTCCTCCTCCTCCTCCTCCTCCTCCTCCTCCTCCTCCTCCTCCTCCTCCTCCTCCTCCTCCTCCTCTCCCTCCTCCTCCTCCTCCTCCTCCTCCTCCTCCTCCTCCGTAGCCATTTGGCTCCAGCGTGCCCCCCATGGCCCAGGCCCCCCATGCGGCCCCCGTGCTGCCCGCGAGGCTCCCTCCCGGCGGGGCGCTGCACGGCGCGCCCGATCGGGCCGCGCGGCTGCTGCGCAGCGGCCACCGCCCGGCCGGGCGAGGGTAGGGCGCCCACGGCCACGCGGCGGCTGCGCGGGCGCCTCTCGGAGGCCCTCTGCTGGCTGGGCTGCGGCCTGCTCGGGCTCTGCGCGGACGGCCTGTGGCGCATCGCTGACCCGGTGGCGATCCCGCTCGCGCGAGGAAGAGATGCGGCTCCGCGCCTTCGCGGTCTGGCTTTCGGGCCGCGAGCCCGCGGACACGCGGTGGCAGTGCTACGCGCCGCGCGGGGCATGCGCGAAGGAGCGCCCCGCGTCCGCGGGGTCGCGGCCCGGGGGCCCAGCCCGCGAGGCCGCGGATACGGATATGTTGTCCCCCCCACGAGGCGAGGAGGGTGCGGACGCGCCGCCGGCCGCTCAGGATCGTCCTGGTGCGGAACGGGGAGAGCCTGGGCAACGTGTGCGACACGACATACGAGACCATCCCGGACTCGAGCGTGCCGCTCACCACCAGGGGCTTCGAGCAGGGGGTGGCCGCTGGCTGGGCGATCCAGGACCTCATCGGCGACGAGACGGTGCGCTTCTTCCACTCCCCGTACATGCGGACGCGGCAGACGACGATGGCGATCCTGGAGGCCTTCCGGGGCAGGAGCGTCGAGCTCACCACCGAGCCGATGCTGCGGGAGCAGGACTTCGGGAACTTCCAGGACCCCGAGACCAGGCAGCAGTCCTTGGAGGACCGGCGGCGCTACGGCCGCTTCTACTACCGCTTCCAGAACGGCGAGGCCGGCACCGACGTCTACGACCGAGTCGCGGAGTTTTGGTCGACCCTGCACCGTGTCATGAGCAGGCCTGACTGCGCGCAGAACCTTGTGGTGGTGACGCACGGCCTGCTGATGCGGATCTTCTGCATGTGCTACTTCCGCTGGACGGTGCTCGAGTTCGAGCGGGTGTGGAACCCGTCGAACTGCGAGGTGTGGATCCTCGAGAGGACCTCGGCCGGCCGCTACCGCCTGGCCGGGCGCCTCGGCAGCGGCGGCGCGCTGCTGCCCATCAGGTTCGGTGCGGACCAGTCGGAGTCCGAGCCCCTCTGGGAGCACATGCGGGAGCCCCTCGCCTCCCGGTCCCCACGGGCGGCGAACACATCCGGCTCCGCGCCCTCGCGGGCCTGGGCCCCCCGGGGCGCGACCCCGCGGCCACGCGGCCGCACGGAGGCCCTCCGCGCGGGGGGCACGCGCTCCAGCAGCGCCCCGTGCCCGCGGGGTCTTCGCGCCCCGGGGGGCCCAGGCCCGCGAGGCCGCGGACAGATGACGGACGTGTGCGCTCCTGCTCGCCCACGAGGTCCGTGGCCCCGGGGACGGGCCAGGAGCTGGAGGACGAGAGGCTTCAGGAGGAAAAGAAGCACACAGACACAATTCATCGTCCATACCCCAGAAAATATGGGAAAATATGGGAAGTGGGGGGGAAGACAAAATATGGGAAAATATGGGGGATAGTTTTGTTTGTGTGTATTTATTTGTGCGTCCCAGGGCCCCCTCAAGGCTGCGGCACCTGCGCGCGGCCAGGGACGCCTCGCCCGGCGTGCTGCACACCGTCATCGAGGAGGGCGCGCGCGCCTCGCGGGCGGCGGGGCGGGCGCCGCCGGGGCCCGCGCCCGAGCCCGGCGGCGGAGCCGCCTCGGCGAGGGCGGGCGGCTCGGGCTGAGGGGCAGGGCCCCCCTCGTCGTCCCCCGCCTGCTCCTGCTGCTCCGTCCTGCCTCCTTCCCCCCCTTCTTCCCTCTCCCCGCTCCTGCTCGCCCTCCGGCGCCCGCCTATCCACCCCCATCTGTTCCTCCTCGTCCTCCTTCTGGGCCTCCCCCGCCTCCTCCTTCGCCCCACTCTGCCTCCCTGTTCACAGCCACCTCTTCCTCAATTTCTCGTCCTCCTCTTCCCCCACCCTCTGCGAGTTGGACTCATCCCCTCTCCCCTCCCCTTCCCTTCCCCGCCCTCCCCTCGAGCACGTAATTTACGACATGCGCTCTACGCGCATTCGATCAGCCTCACGGCTTATTCCGTTGACTGTATGGTCATTCACGGTCACGGCTTGGAAATCTAGGCTGTCATTGTACGCCACAGCTTTAGATGTTTACATTCGTGTGCCGCTTCTCTGCCTCTTCTCCATCGGCACATGTTATGGCTTGCGTTCGTGGAGTAATCGAGGCACACATCCTAGTATGATTCATGCGTGTTTCACTCTGACGCTGGGTCGACTGGCGGATGGTTACGCCCTCTCCTGCTCACCTCCTGAGAAAGAAAAATCCGGTTTTCCGCACACAACTGACGTGTCGATGTGGCGGCCAGGGCGTTTCGCCTGAGACGCCCCGTCAAATGATCACCCTGAAGCTTGACATTCCAACAGATACACGGGTGTAGGGCGAATCGTTGGCAGCTTGCGGTTCTCGGTTAAGCGTCGCGGCAGCTCTTTTCCAAGTCTCAAGCAGCTATGAGGATGAAAGAAGGATCGTGTTAAACATGTGTTTGTCGCTCCAGCGCCGCTCGCATCCTCCGAAACATGTCCCCAAGCTCTACAAGGATGAAATGCGAATTGCGTCCAACGTGTGGCTATTGATGTTGCGCCTCAAATGTTCGTTTTAGAGGTTCCAAGCAGTTGCAATATTGCAAGGCGCGTCGTTTGAAACATGCGACTCACGCCTTAGCGCCACGCACATTCGTCACAACGTTATCCAACAGCTACAAGGAATGAGGGCGGCTCCTTTTCAATTTGAGGCGCTCGTTTAAGATGTCCAAGGTTGTATGAGCATGTACGGGTAAGATGTAATTGATGCACGGATGCGGAAGTGGGTTCTCGCTTGAGGCTTTCAATTTTCTTCCTGACTAGATATGCAAACGGGTGTAACGAATGTACGGATAGGAAACGATGTTTAGTCAAAGCGGTGAACCGTTGGACATGCCCGTAACTGATATCAGGTTATTTCGTTGTCATTCTAACCAGAAGTGTAGAGGTGGCCCCTGGTTCAAACAGATTTACCGCTTCAATGGCAAGCTCACTGGCAAGCCCATGGGACTCTCGTTTTTCGGGTGGGGGGACCCCTTCACGGAAACGGAGTGACTGTGGTATTTCTGTTGACAGCCGCTCGGGACGAAGGGGTTCATTGCAGCATCGTCTCTGCACGTTTGGCTTGCGTTGGTCCTCCTCCCTCCTCCCCCCCTCCCGCCCCCTCACCCCCATCCCGGGCCTCTCCTCCTCCCGCCCCTGCCCCGCGCCAGGCCGCCACTGTCCCGATCCCTTCGCCGCGGGATCCTGCGGCTCGGGACTTCGCCGTCCCCTCCTGCCAAGTGCGGACGGCGGCCCCGATCGGCCGCAGCACGGCCAGAGGCGGCGGGCCCGGCGGGGCCCGTCGTGGGCCCCCGGGAGGCCCAGCGGAGGCGGCAGCTGGGCGAGGGGCGAGGCCTCGCGGCTCCCCGGGGGGGGCTGCCGAGTGCGCCACTGCCACCGCCGTCGCGGGCTCCCGGGAGGTCCAGCGGTGGCGGTACAGCGCCACGGCGCCGTCGCGGGCTCCCGGGAGGTCCAGCGGTGGCGGCACAGTGTTTTTGTTTCAATACATGCCCCGCGTGCGGATCATGTATCACAAAACTGCAGGGATTTGTGCACTACAAACAACGATGAGTTCACGCATGAATGCATTCATGCAATAGTCATGTATTGAACATCTTACACTTTGAAAACCCTATGTGTTAAAAACTGCCCCGTAGGGACCCCTGGGAGATTCCCGATTGGGCAGTTGTCGCCTCGTTCGTAGGCCCTTGGGAGGCCCAGCGGAGGCGGCAGTCGGGCGAGACCTCGCGGCTCCCTGGGGGGTGCTGATTGCGCAGTCGTCGCCATTTTCTCGGGCTCCCGGGAGGTCCACCAGCGGCGGTACAGTAGTCAGGCGAGACGTCTAGTCTCCCCGGGAGGCTGCCAACTGCACAACTGTCGCCATTTTCGTGGGCTCCTGTGAGCGAGGACTCGCGGCCGCCTGGGGGGCTGCCAATTGCGCAATTCTTGTCGCCATTTTCGCGGGCTCCTGGGAGGTCCAACGGCGGCGGTGGTCAGGCGAGACGTCGCGTCTCCCTGGGAGGCTGCCACCTGCACACCTGTCGCCATGTTCGTGGGCTCCCGCCGCCGTTTTGGCTCAATCAAGCCTCTTTGGGGGCCCCGAGGCGCGCCCGCTCTCCCGCCCACCACCCCGCCCCCCCGCGCGCCGCACTCTCCTTGCGCGTGGGCAGGGGCGCCAGGGGACTGACGAGCGAGGAAGGGCCCCGCCGCCGTCGCTGCCGCCGCGGGGCTCTGCGGCCATGACCGGCGAGCCCGCCTCCTTCGACCTGGAGGGCCTGCAACGGAGCCTCATCGGCGAGCACGGCAGCCGCCTCGCCGCCTCCGCGGAACACCTGCAGGCGCGCGCGGCCTCGCTGGAGGAAGAGAACGGGCGCCTGCGCAGGCAGCTCCCCGGCCGCCCCGGCGAGCCCTCGTCGCCGCGCGGGGGCGCGCGGCCTCCCGCGGCCGCCACGGCGGCGCAGGTGGAGCTCGCAGGTGTGCAACCCCCGCCGCCGGCCCCAGAGGGGGCTGTGAGCCCGCCTTGTTCCCCTGCGGCCACGTCGGTGGTGGCCGATCTCGACGGCCACACGGAGGTCCTGGTGGCCGCGGTGGCGCCCGGCTGCGTTCTGCCGCAGTCCCTGGGCGAGGGCGCCGCCGTGGGCTGGCCGGGGCGCCAAGTGCCCCGCGGCGCCCCGGAGCCGCTGAAGGACCACGACCTGTGGTGGGCCAGCGGGGCGCAGAGCGAGGGATCCGCGGCAGGCTCCCCCCGCGGGCTGCGGCCCCCCTCGCGCACCGCCAGCACCGCCGACCAGCAGGTCTTGCCGCGCACGCCGGTCGAGGAACGGTCGCCCAGGGGCGAGCCCCAGACTTTCAAGGTGCTCGACACCTGGGAGCGGGGCCGGCACAAGATAGGCAGCCGCCGGCAGTCCCTGCAGAGCCTGTGCCGGAAGTCGACCGCCTCCACGGGCAACACCATTTGGGCGCTGTTCGGGGAGGAGGAGGGGGACCACGAGCCAGTATGGTGGGAGGAGCGGCTGGAGAGGCTCGTCGTGGAGCCGAACTCCTTCGCCCACATCTGTTGGGAGTCCGTCGGCCTCGGCCTCGTCTTCTACGACGTCGTCACGGTTCCTCTGCAGCTGCTGGACCCCTTGTGCGGGGTGATGTTCTTCCTGGCGTCGTGGCTGGCGCGCTTGTTCTGGACCTTGGACCTGCCGTTCTCCTTCCTGACGGGCTTCGTGTCGCCCCAGGGCAGGGTCGAGCTGCGCGCCGCAAAGGTGATGGCCAACTACGCAGGCAGCCGTCTGCCGCTGGACCTCGGCGTCCTCGCTTGCGACTGGACGGAGGCCCTGGTGTCGAGCGCCAACGGCGACGGCGACCCGACGCTGCTGCGCCTCGCGGCACTGCTGCGGGGCGTGCGGCTGGTGCGGCTGACGAGGGCACAACACATCGCCGCGCTCGCCTCCCAGCACGTCCGCTCCGAAGGCGTCAAGCTGTCTGTCTCCATTGCTTTGATTATGTTCGCGCTGCTGATACTTATTCACGTCATTGCGTGCGCCTGGCATGGCGTTCGCTATGGCTCTGGGCTGGACACGGCCCGCGACCGCGGACTCGGAGAGGACTACTCCGAGGCGTTCCACTGCGTGCTGGCACTTTTCTTGGGGGAGCACTTGGTGCCCCCTCAGAGCGTGGGCGAGCGCGTCTTCACCGTCCTGGTGCTGATCTTCAGCTTCATGGTGTCGTCCTGCTTCGTCGGCTCCCTCACCACCGCGATGACCCAGCTGCGGTTCATCGCCGGCAAGCGGTCCACACAGTTCGCCGCCCTCAACCACTACCTTTCCGACGCAGGCATCTCCCGCGAGCTGTCCGCCCGAGTGGTGCTCAACGCGCGGCACGCCCTGCGCGAGCAGAAGCGGCACACGCCCGAGAGCAGCGTGGAGCTGCTGCAGCTCATCTCCGACCCGTTAAGGTCCGAGATCCACTTCGAGGTCTTCTCACCGATGCTCGCCGTGCACCCGTTCTTCCACTTGCTAAACGGCGTGAATCAGGCAGGCGTGCGCCACGTGTGCCACGCGTCCGTGTCGGCCGTGTCGCTGTCGCGGGGCGACGTGTTGTTCTCCGAGTTCGAGGTGCCGACAGCGCCGAGGATGTTCTTCGTGCTGCGTGGCCGGCTGAGCTACGCTCGCGGCATGGAGGCGCAGCGGGCCGTCGACAGCACCTGGTTGTCCGAGCCCGTGCTGTGGACGACCTGGGCGCACCCGGGCACGTTGCGCGCCCAGACCGAGGCCAATCTGCTGGCGCTGGACGCTCACAGGTTCGTCAACATCATGAGCACTTTCCCCACGCCGCACAGCCTGAACTGTGCCACCAAGTTCGTGGAGAAGCTCAACCATGAGGGCCTCAGCGGCTCGCTGACGGACCTCGGAGCGCCGGAGGAAGGAGCCCGGCGGCTCGCCGTGCAGGCCTTCCAGGAGAACGACCTCCACTTCGAGCCACCCCCCGAGTGGACCACCGGCCGGCGGATGTCCAGCTTGTCCGTGGCGTCGGTGCTCTCCGCCACCTCGCGCCGGTGGTCCACGGCCAGCGCGCCGCGGGCCAGCCGCAGGGTGTCCGGCGCGGCGCTGGTGCCGACGTCGCCGCGGCCGCCCGGGCCGGGCTCGTGAGGGGCCCCATCACGCGGGCGGCGGTCGGGGCGGGCGGGCCGCGGCGGTCGTTCTGGCCGCCGCCGCGGTCTCGGGACGTGCGACGGCCTGCTCTGGAGGTGTTCGTCGGCGCAGCAGGGAGGCGCATGCTTGTTTTCAGCCACGGCTCTCGCGCGAGGAATTCGAGCTGCTCCTTTGCTTGCCCCCTCTGGCAGGCCGACGTTGCACCGTCGTGCAGAATCATGTCTGCACGCATGCGCATTCTGGCCGATCCGCATGGCAAACGTTGGCCGTGTTCCACCCTCCTCTCCTACCCCTCGTCCTCCCCGCCCCCGTCTCCTCTTCCTTCTCCCTCTTCCTCCATTCCTCCTGCCCTGCCTGCCCCCTTCCCACCCATTTTTGGACGTTGCCACCATCCAGCGTCTTCCTCCTCACGGCCGTGAACGGGATTTATTCCCCTGCCGGCTGATTGTGCTCGTCAATGTCAGTTCACCAACGCACTATGGCGCATTGGCCACCCCCCACCGATCCAAAATGCTGAAGCGGGGTGTTGGAGGGCTGTCCGTGCCTCTTCGGTGTCACTCATGC